GACAGGGAGGAGTACGGCAGCTGGTAGGGTGACAGGGTGGAGTACGGCAGCTGGTAGGGTGACAGGGTGGAGTACGGCAGCTGGTAGGGTGACAGGGTGGTGTACGGCAGCTGGTAGGGTGACAGGGTGGTGTACGACAGCTGGTAGGGTGACATGGAGGAGTACGGCAGCTGGTAGGGTGACAGGGTGGAGTACGGAAGCTGGTAGGGTGACAGGGTGGAGTACGGCAGCTGGCAGGGTGACAGGGTGGAGTACGGCAGCTGGCAGGGTGACAGGGTGGAGTACGGCAGCTGGTAGGGTGACAGGGAGGAGAACGGCAGCTGGCAGGGTAACAGGGCGGAGTACGGCAGCTGGTAGGGTGACAGGGAGGAGTACGGCAGCTGGTAGGGTGACAGAGAGGAGTACGGCAGCTGGTAGGGTGACAGAGTGGAGTACGGCAGCTGGTAGGGTGACAGGGTGGAGTACGGCAGCTGGTAGGGTGACAGGGTGGAGTACGGCAGCTGGCAGGGTAACAGGGTGGAGTACGGCAGCTGGCAGGGTGACAGGGTGGAGTACGGCAGCTGGTAGGGTGACAAGGTGGAGTACGGCAGCTGGTAGGGTGACAGGGTGGAGTACGGCAGCTGGTAGGGTGACAGGGTTGAGTACGGCAGCTGGTAGGGTGACAGGGTGGAGTACGGCAGCTGGTAGGGTGACAGGGAGGAGTACGGCAGCTGGTAGGGTGACAGGGTGGAGTACGGCAGCTGGTTGGGTGACAGGGAGGGGTACGGCTGCTGGTAGGGTGACAGGGTGGAGTACGGCAGCCTGTAGGGTAACTGGGAGGAGTACGGCAGATGGCAGGGTGACAGGGAGGAGTACGGCAGATGGCAGGGTGACAGGGAGGAGTACAACAGATGGCAGGGTGACAGGGAGGAGTACGGCAGATGGTAGGGTGACAGGGAGGAGTACGGCAGCTGGTAGGGTGACAGGGTGGAGTACGGCAGCTGGTAGGGTGACAGGGTGGAGTACGGCAGCTGGTAGGGTGACAGGGAGGAGTACAGCTGATGGCAGGGTGACAGGGAGGAGTACAGCTGATGGCAGGGTGACAGGGTGGAGTACAGCTGATGGCAGGGTGACAGGGTGGTGTACGGCAGATGTCAGGGTGACAGGGAGGAGTACGGCAGATGGCAGGGTGACAGGGAGGAGTACGGCAGATGGTAGGGTGACAGGGTGGAGTACGGCAGACGGCAGGGTGACAGGGAGGAGTACGGCAGATGGCAGGGTGACAGGGAGGAGTACGGCAGCTGGCAGGGTGACAGGGAGGACCACGACTGATGGCAGGGTGACAGGGAGGAGTACGGCAGCTGGCAGGGTGACAAGGAGGAGTACGACTGATGGCAGGGTGACAGGGAGGAGCACGACTGATGGCAGGGTGACAGGGAGGAGTACGGCAGCTGGCAGGGTGACAGGGAACTGCGGCAGCAGGTTCAGATGGTGGCAGGAACACAGGCAGGGGGTTGATGCAGTAGATATTTAGGTAAACACTTTGTGAAGTAGGGAGAGAGAAGGAACATGTTGAGAAACAACTGATAAAGAGGAAGTGAAGGTATGAAAGAAAAAGATATGTCAGCTTGGGCCTTACACGCTTGGGGTCCGCGGTTCGAGTCTGCCATAGACCCCAGGTTAATGGAAGGTAGAGTTATGTTATGAACCAGGTATTAAATTGGTTCCTAACGATGCAAATTATTATACAGCCGAGGTGTTACATTATTTTCTAGCGTGTTGTAGTGTATCATTGTATTCAGCATTATAACGGTAGGTATAAGGTTATTGTATTATACAATCACGAGTGTTGCCAGTGGCGGTGTGAGAGGTGCTAGACGTGTTGTGGAGGCAGCGGTTGTGTGTGTGTGTGAGGGACAGTTGTAACAACCACACGGCTTAGTGATCAGGTCACAGGTCACTACCTGGAGGTCAACAACACGTGCCGGGGTCACCCTCGCTGCCCGGGCATCAACCCCGACCTTGACCAATCAGAACACAGCACTGACACCCCTAGAGTAGTGTGCTGACCAATCAGGACACCACCACTGACACCCTGGAGTAGTGTGCTGACCAATCAGGACACCACCACTGACACCTTGGAGTAGTGTGCTGACCAATCAGGACACCACCACTGACACCCTGGAGTAGTGTGCTGACCAATCAGGACACCACCACTGACACCTTGGAGTAGTGTGCTGACCAATCAGGACACACCACTGACACCCTGGAGTAGTGTGCTGACCAATCAGGACACACCACTGACACCCTGGAGTAGTGTGCTGACCAATCAGGACACCACCACTGACACCTTGGAGTAGTGTGCTGACCAATCAGGACACACCACTGACACCCTGGAGTAGTGTGCTGACCAATCAGGACACAGCATTGACCCCCCCCCCCCACGGAGTAGTGGGTCGCGGTGACTACGCGTATCATCGGGTAATACATTTTGTTCTGGTAATGAGTTATGTATTATGCATTCATGTAATAAGTGTATGGAAGTGTTATTCTCAGCTAGTTAGTGGCACAAGTGTTCTTAGTTATGTTAAGTGGGTTACAGCAGTGTGTAGAGGTCGCTCCTGCCTGTCAGTCCAGGGCGAGTACTGACAGTAGTAGTTAGTAATAGTAGTAGTAGTAGTATTAGTAGTAGTAGGCAGTCATCAGTCTCATGAGACTATGGAGTTGTGACACTACACACAGAAATCACAATAGCGTGATGCATCAAATGAACAAATCCACAAGGGCCGTGACGAGGATTCGAACCTACGTCCGAGAGCATCCCAGACGCTGCCTTAATCGACTGAGCAAGTCGTAGCTCGGTCGATTAAGGCAGCGTCTGGGATGCTCTCGGACTTAGGTTCGAATCCTCGTCACGGCCCTTGTGGATTTCTTCTTTTTATGGAGTTGTGCTCTGATTGTCGGAGCTCGGGTTATCGGAAGGAAAGTAAGGGCCTGACAGCTGAGTGGACAGCGCTCGGGATTCGTAGTCCTAAGGTTCCGGGTTCGATCTCCGATGGAGGCGGAAACAAATAGGCAGAGCTTCTTTCACCCTGATGCACATGTTCACCTAGCAGTAAATAGGTACCTGGGAGTCAGACAGCTGCTACATGCTGCTTCCTGGAGGGTGTGTAACAAAAAGGAGGCCTGGTCGAGGACCGAGCCGCGGGGATGCTAAGCCCCGAAATCATCTCAAGATAACGTGAAGGACTGGATGTCTTCCCCTCAAGTGGAGTGTTTTGCTTGTGGTTATAATTATATATAATTAGTCTGGTATCCATGTTTGAATTATTAACGTTAAGTCAAAGTAATTAATTGCTGAGTCAGTTGTATATTATTATATTTCAGTGTATTTGTTTTCATCCAATACAGTATACTGGTGGAGTTGTTTTAAAGTGGTTTATTTACCTATAATAAGTTGAGTGAACAGGCCAATTACAGTTGGTGACCCGCCAAACACACACCGAAACTACGACGTTGTTACAACGTTCAAACAAGTTTTAACACCACCTAACCAGTTATAACAACCAATATAGCAAGTTGTAACAACGTTCTAATACGTCATAAACACGTTAAGCCAAGATGTAACAACTTAATTACAAGTTGTAACAAGCGGAACATAGAGACATTTACGGTTTGTGTTTCCAATATGGGAGTTGGTCCACGAGCCTTACTGAGAGCTGATGTTTACCAGCGAGGACAGCAGAAAGAAAGGGCAGGAGAGTAGATATAGGAAAGAAGAGGTAGGTAATGCCAGGAGGGTAGGTAAGCCGGAGGGGAAGTGAGGGGTCTGGACCCGAGCAGGGAAGGAAGTGGTGGGAAGAGCCAGGAGGCAATCACTTAGTAGAGGGAGGTATCTCTTAGGGGGGGGGGACACGTGTAGGTAAGGATGAGAGGAAGGTGCGAGGTAGGGAAATGGGTAGGAGGTAGGAAAAGAGAGAGAGGAAATATAAACATGTAGGTAAGCAAGAAGAGGCTAGACGGTGAGGTAAGGTAGAGACAGGACTTGTCAATACACTGAAAGAACTGAATCTCCATACACAGGATATTGTGAATGGTGGTGTGTGGTGACGTGTGGTGGCGTGTGGTGGTGTGTGGTGGCGTCTGGTGGCGTCTGGTGGCGTGTAGTGGTGTGTGGTGGTGTGTGGTGGTGTGTGGTGGCGTGTGGTGGCGTGTAGTGGCGTGTGGTAGTGTGTGGTGGTGTGTGGTGGTGTGTGGTGGTGTGTGGTGGTGTGTGGTGGCGTGTGGTGGTGTGTGGTGGTGTGTGGTGGTGTGTGGTGGTGTGTGGTGGCGTGTGGTGGTGTGTGGTGGTGTGTGGTGGTGTGTGGTGGCGTGTGGTGGCGTGTGGTGGTGTGTGGTGGTGTGTGGTGGCGTGTGTGTGTGTGTGTGTGTGTGTGTGTGTGTGTGTGTGTGTGTGTGTGTGTGTGTGTGTGTGTGTGTGTGTGTGTGTGAGTGTGTGTGTGTGTGTTTACATACGTACAGCTCGCCAACATCACCATCACCACCAACACTATAAGGGACTCCATCTCTGGCCTCCATCACCATTACAATAATCCCTTCAACACTCACCATTACCCCCATAATCCCCACTATCGTCACCATTACGCCCATGATCTCTTATTGTCTTCACCATTACCATCACTGTTACAACTACAAGCTCTATTACCATCACCATTACACCCATAATCTCTATAATCAGTAGTGATGGCAGCAGCAGCAGTGATGGCAGCAGCAGCAGCAGTGATGTCAGCATCAGTAGCAGCAGTAATGTCAGCATCAGTAGCAGCAGTAATGTCAGCAGCAGCAGCAGTAATGTCAGCATCATCAGCAGCAACAGCAGTAATGTTAGCAGCAGCAGCAGCAACAGCAGTAATGTCAGCATCATCAGCAGCAACAGCAGTAATGTTAGCAGCAGCAGCAGCAACAGCAGTAATGTTAGCAGCAGCAACAGCAGTAATGTCAGCAGCAGCAGCAGCAACAGCAGTAATGTCAGCAGCAGCAGCAGTAATGTCAGCAGCAGCAGCAGTAATGTCAGCAGCAGCAGCAGTAATGTCAGCAGCAGCAGCAGCAGCAGCAGTAATGTCAGCAGCAGCAGCAGTAATGTCAGCAGCAGCAGCAGTAATGTCAGCAGCAGCAGCAGCAGCAGCAGTAATGTCAGCAGCAGCAGCAGTAATGTCAGCAGCAGCAGCAGCAGCAGCAGCAGTAATGTTAGCAGCAGCAGCAGCAGTAATGTCAGCAGCAGCAGCAGCAACAGCAGTAATGTCAGCAGCAGCAGCAGCAACAGCAGTAATGTCAGCAGCAGCAGCAGTAATGTCAGCAGCAGCAGCAGCAGTAATGTCAGCAGCAGCAGCAGCAGCAGCAACAGCAGTAATGTTAGCAGCAGCAACAGCAGTAATGTCAGCAGCAGCAGCAGCAACAGCAGTAATGTCAGCAGCAGCAGCAGTAATGTCAGCAGCAGCAGCAGTAATGTCAGCAGCAGCAGCAGTAATGTCAGCAGCAGCAGCAGCAGTAATGTCAGCAGCAGCAGTAATGTCAGCAGCAGCAGCAGCAGCAGTAATGTCAGCATCAGCAGCAGCAGCAGTAATGTCAGCATCAGCAGCAGTAAAGTCAGCATCAGCAGCAGCAGCAGTAATGTCAGCAGCAGCAGTAATGTCAGCATCAGCAACAGCAGTAATGTCAGCAGCAGCAGCAGTAATGTCAGCATCAGCAACAGCAGTAATGTCAGCATCAGCAGCAGCAGTAATATCAGCAGCAGCAGCAGTAATGTCAGCATCAGCAGCAGCAGTAATGTCTGCATCAGCAGCAGTAATGTCAGCAGCAGCAGTAATGTCAGCAGCAGCAGCATCATTGATGGCAGCAGTAGCAGCAGCAGTAATGTCAGCAGCAGCAGCAGCAGTAATGTCAGCAGCAGCAGTAATGTCAGCAGCAGAAGCAGTAATGTCAGCATCAGCAGCAGCAGTAATATCAGCATCAGCAGCAGTAATGTCAGCAGCAGCAGTAATGTCAGCAGCAGCAGCATCATTGATGGCAGCAGCAGCAGCAGTAATGTCAACAGCAGAAGCAGTAATGTCAGCAGCAGCAGTAATGTCAGCAGCAGCAGCAGTAATGTCAGCAGCAGCAGCAGTAATATCAGCAGCAGCAGCAGTAATGTCAGCAGCAGCAGCAACAGCAGCAGTAATGTCAGCAGCAGCAATGTCAGCAGCAGCAGCAGCAACAGCAGCAGTAATGTCAGCAGCAGTAATGTCAGTATCAGCAGCAGTAAAGTCAGCAGCAGCAGCAGTAATGTCAGCATCAGCAGCAGTAAAGTCAGCAGCAGTAATGTCAGCAGCAGCAGCAGCAGCAGTGATGGCAGCAGAAGCAGCAGCAGCAGTGATGGCAGCAGAAGCAGCAGCAGCAGCAGCAGTGATGGCAGCAGAAGCAGCAGCAGCAGCAGTGATGGCAGCAGAAGCAGCAGCAGCAGTAATGGCAGCATCAGCAGCAGCAGTGAAGGCAGCAGCAGCAGCAATGATGGAAGCAGAAGCAGCAGCAGCAGTAATGGCAGCAGCAGCAGCAGCAGTAATGGCAGCAGCAGCAGCAGCAGCAGCAGTAATGGCAGCAGCAGCAGCAGCAGTAATGGCAGCAGCAGCAGCAGCAGCAGCAGTAATGGCAGCAGCAGCAGCAGCAGTAATGGCAGCAGCAGCAGCAGTAGCAGCAGCGGGGCAGAGTGGTCCCCGCCCACCAGTGAAGGTGTTGGGAGCGTCACTAGAGGACCCAACTCTCCCGCCAAAAACAATAAAAAGTAAACAAAGTAATCAGGCAACTTTTCTTTCATCGCCAGGAGAGTCAAGGCCGCCGCCGCCACCGCCGCCAAGTTACTGCCTCTCAATGTCTCTTAATTAATACACTTAACAAGTTAATAACAGCTCCGGTGTTTCCCATCCAAATCTCGACATGGTTGGTGGATCTGGGAGGGTTGGAGGATCTGGCAGGGTTGGTGTAAGTGTGTGTGCCTGCCTCCGGCTGCCACACATGTCAACGTCCTTCACACCTTTGATCAGATGCCATAGTTGCCATCTGCCATACACTGTGCAGTCAGCGTGAATATATTTAACCACGTCCAGCAGACCCCTCAGAGAGAATATTGAAACTGACTTAATATTATCTGGCAAAGGCTGGGGGAATTTAATTTGTCTCTCCCTCTCTCTCTCTCTCTCCCTCTCTCTCTCTCTCTCTCTCTCTCTCTCTCTCTCTCTCTCTCTCTCTCTCTCTCTCTCTCTCTCTCTCTCTCTCTCTCTCTCTCTCTCTCTCTCTCTCTCTCTCACTCTACTACCACCACCAGCAGCAACAACAATCACTAACAATCCCACTCACACCACCGACCACCATCACCACCAATAACTACCACCCCAACAACAACCACCACTAACATATTTCTTGATCAAATCACTTCCATCAGTGTTGTCGACTGCCACTACTGATCACCTGATGTATTCTAAACCATACAACAACACAACGCTCCCCCATTAAAATATATGTATCATTATTCATATAGTACAAAAGCCATATTAGTAGTGAATATATGAATTCCAATTAGCATGGACAGCTTCAACAAGGCTATATATTTTAATACGGAATATATACATCGTAACAATGTGTACAGTATCAGTTTGTATAGACCGATCTCGTATGCACGGGTGTATACAAGCGTATGTTTATACACACAACAACATACTCCCAACTTTACCCGAGGAAATATGACACATACCACTTGAAAATGGTCCAGGTTCTGGACGAATCATTGGTCAAAATGATTCGACAATTTCGAATCACCAAATCGTAGTTTGTTCATCTTGTTGTGCGTGATTGGTTCATCATATCTTCACCCCCGTTGTTGTGACTCAACGAGGAAGGGGGTCACAACGATGTTTACAAGTTATAATAGAGTTTGATGACCTGTATATTACCGGCAGGGATGGTATTATCCCTGCCAGCAAAATCATTGTTTTGTGTGTAATGACATGTCAATATGTGCGCTCCGTAGAGCTCCTAGTGACTAGCAGTGAGTACTCTGCTTCTATATTTCTATCAACTTTCTATTCATAATTTCGGTCACCATCACCATCACCATTTTCATCACCATCACTAGAATGTATTTAATCCATATGTGCTCATCAATCTGCCGTTACCATCATCGCATTCCTCATCAGACAAAAGATACGACAAAAAACGTGTTTGTTCCTAATTCTAAATTTATTGCTATTATTTCTCTTCTTTGGTTCTTTACATTTCTTTCATTTTCTTTTGAATGTTAATCTTCTCTTTTTTTTCTCTCTCTCTCTCTTTTCCTCCTTTTAAGAACGTTTCTTCATCCTGTGAGACGGCAGGTGGTCCTGTGAGACGGCAGGTGGTCCTGTGAGACGGCAGGTGGTCCTGTGAGACGGCAGGTGGTCCTGTGAGACGGCAGGTGGTCCTGTGAGACGGCAGGTGGTCCTGTGAGACGACAGGTGGTCCTGTGAGACGGCAGGTGGTCCTGTGAGACGACAGGTGGTCCTGTGAGACGACAGGTGGTCCTGTGAGACGACAGGTGGTCCTGTGAGACGACAGGTGGTCCTGTGAGACGGCAGGTGGTCCTGTGAGACGGCAGGTGGTCCCGTGAGACGGCAGGGCAGGTGGTCCTGTGAGACGACAGGTGGTCCTGTGAGACGGAAGAGACGACAGGTGGTCCTGTGAGACGACAGGTGGTCCTGTGAGACGGCAGGTGGTCCTGTGAGACGACAGGTGGTCCTGTGAGACGACAGGTGGTCCTGTGAGACGGCAGGTGGTCCCGTGAGACGGAAGGTGGTCCTGTGAGACGACAGGTGGTCCTGTGAGACGACAGGTGGTCCTGTGAGACGGGAGGTGGTCCTGTGAGACGGCAGGTGGTCCTGTGAGACGGCAGGTGGTCCTGTGAGACGACAGGTGGTCCTGTGAGACGACAGGTGGTCCTGTGAGACGGCAGGTGGTCCTGTGAGACGACAGGTGGTCCTGTGAGACGACAGGTGGTCCTGTGAGACGGCAGGTGGTCCTGTGAGACGACAGGTGGTCCTGTGAGACGGCAGGTGGTCCCGTGAGACGGCAGGTGGTCCTGTGAGACGGCAGGTGGTCCTGTGAGACGACAGGTGGTCCTGTGAGACGGCAGGTGGTCCTGTGAGACGACAGGTGGTCCTGTGAGACGGCAGGTGGTCCTGTGAGACGACAGGTGGTCCTGTGAGACGGCAGGTGGTCCTGTGAGACGGCAGGTGGTCCTGTGAGACGGCAGGTGGTCCTGTGAGACGGCAGGTGGCGAGGAAGACAGGGAGGAGGGGCACCAGGAAGACAGGGAGGGGGGACGAGACAGACAGGGAGGGGGGACGAGACAGACAGGGAGGGGGGACGAGACAGACAGGGAGGGGGGACGAGACAGACAGGGAGGGGGGACGAGACAGACAGGGAGGGGGGACGAGACAGACAGGGAGGGGGGACGAGACAGACAGGGAGGGGGGACGAGACAGACAGGGAGGGGGGGACGAGGAAGACAGGGAGGGGGTGGACAAGAAAGACAAAGCTATGGTTGACAGGAGATCTAACCTAAGCACAGACAAATCAAAAGAATCCTCACAGTAGTATCAAGCGCCGAACAAGACACAGCTCAGATTATGTATCGCAATAAACGACAAAAATCACGACAGCCATAATAAAATAAGCCTCACAGTCATAAGCCTTTAAGAACAGCAGGGAACCAGCTGACATATGCAGGCGATGAGTCACAATAACGGGGCTAAAGTAAGTTGACCAGACCACACACTAGAAGGTGAAGGGACGACGACGTTTCGGTCCGTCGTGGACCATACTCAACTCGATTGTCTTGAGAATCACAATCGACTTGAGAATGGTCCAGGACGGACCAAAACGTCGTCGTCCCTTCACCTTCTAGTGTGTGGTCTGGTCAACTCAGCTGACATAGAACAACATGAGTCTGAGTGGACTTAACTACACTTCAAGAAATTATGTCCCTAAGGACTGTAGAAAACCACAATACTGCAGAGCGATCGAAACAAGCAACAGGAGTAGTTAGACAAATGTCTAACTACTGTAGTTAGTAGTTAGACTAATGTCTCAGCGAGTGTAAAATTATGAGACTGGGTAAAGGGCAAAGGTGGCGATAAGTTGAGTAGAGAGTGTCGGGGAATGGAGCTCGGACACGCACTGTTATCTTTGTGTGAATCATAGTGAGTCCACACTATACACAACACAAGTATATGGTGTGTACAGTGTACAGTGATGTACATACAGTACACATGAACATCCAGATCTGAAATTATTTTAATGTAAAAGAAACAATAGACATAAAGTAGACTCATAACGAATGTTAAGGTAAAGAGAAACCAACGCTCTATGTCCAGGGGCAACCTGGCCAGCCAGATGAGCTTGAGATATAAGGAAATAAATGTTCAGTGTGAGAGTCGTGAACACTTACAAGAACTGGAGCAGGTGGTGGTGGAGGCCAGCACAGTCCACAGCAGCAGGACACCACAAAATCCTAGGAAACTATGGATAGAGTGGCTCCGCATACTGGGGTCTTAAGGCGGCGACACACACCACACAACCTTTAAATTCCAATAAAATAAGCGCTTGAACGCACCTAACTTCCTCCAAGCACCTCCAGACGCTTTCAGAACACTTCCACATTCCCTCGAGCACACCAAGACCCACTTCAGCGCCCGCCTGCTCGCTCCTAGTCGCTTCCAGACACATTTAAACGCACTCACACGCGCCCTAAACTCAGCCCCACGCCCGGCACAGCCCTCCACGCCCGGCACAGCCCCCCACGCCCGGCACAGCCCCCCACGCCCGGCACAGCAGCCCCCCACGCTCGGAACAGCCCCCCCCCACGCCCGGCACAGCCCCCCACGCCCGGCACAGCCCCCCCACGCCCGGCACAGCACCCCCACGCCCGGCACAGCCCCCCCCGCCCGGCACAGCAGCCCCCCACGCTCGGAACAGCCCCCCACGCCCGGAACAGCCCCCCACGGCAGAGCGCACAGCCCCCCACGCCCGGAACAGCCCCCCACGCCCGGCACAGCCCCCCACGCCCGGAACAGCCCCCCACGCCCGGCACAGCCCCCCCACGCCCGGGTGGACACCACGGGCCGTAGGAGTCGACGCTCTCACCCTATCTTGGCTCACCAACGAGCTGTTAAGGCTGGCCACCTCGACCTTCACCCTCCAGTGATGTGGCCACCTTTCCCTTCTACCTATTTTCTTCTGTTGCGACTGTACGTCCAGACCGTCTAGTCTTCCTTTTACCTTTGAGTCATAGTTTCTTCCCGCGGTGGAGAGCATTCTTCCTGATTGTTTTGGATCTACAATTTCTTTATTTTCTACTTTTCCTTTATCCAAGTAATATTTACAACTAATAGTTCTTTATTTCAGGGATAGCTTAAAGGGAAATTTGTTATGAGGGTAAAAGATGCTCTTGTAATTATTTAAGTTTTGTTCTGCTGTAAACACTCTCCTTGTCCCTTTCTTGGATAGATTATTGTCTGGTGTTCAACGAGCTTTCTCACAAGTCGAGTTGTTGAACGAACCCCATCAACCAGGTATCAACCAGGTAAACCTCTGCCAGTCCCTTTCTTGAGGAACAGTTGTTGAACGGTGAGGGAACAGCCTTTTGTGAGCGAGATGTAGGCAAGGAACAGCCTTTTGTGAGCGAGATGTAGTCTAGGAACAGCCTTTTGTGAGCGAGATGTAGTCTAGGAACAGCCTTTTGTGAGCGAGATGTAGTCTAGGAACAGCCTTTTGTGAGCGAGATGTAGTGAAGGAACAGCCTTTTGTGAGCGAGATGTAGGCAAGGAACAGCCTTTTGTGAGCGAGATGTAGTCAAGGAACAGCCTTTTGTGAGCGAGATGTAGTCTAGGAACAGCCTTTTGTGAGCGAGATGTAGTCTAGGAACAGCCTTTTGTGAGCGAGATGTAGTCTAGGAACAGCCTTTTGTGAGCGAGATGTAGGCAAGGAACAGCCTTTTGTGAGCGAGATGTAGTCAAGGAACAGCCTTTTGTGAGCGAGATGTAGTCTAGGAACAGCCTTTTGTGAGCGAGATGTAGTGAAGGAACAGCCTTTTGTGAGCGAGATGTAGGCAAGGAACAGCCTTTTGTGAGCGAGATGTAGGCAAGGAACAGCCTTTTGTGAGCGAGATGTAGTCAAGGAACAGCCTTTTGTGAGCGAGATGTAGTCTAGGAACAGCCTTTTGTGAGCGAGATGTAGTGAAGGAACAGCCTTTTGTGAGCGAGATGTAGGCAAGGAACAGCCTTTTGTGAGCGAGATGTAGGCAAGGAACAGCCTTTTGTGAGCGAGATGTAGTCAAGGAACAGCCTTTTGTGAGCGAGATGTAGTCTAGGAACAGCCTTTTGTGAGCGAGATGTAGTGAAGGAACAGCCTTTTGTGAGCGAGATGTAGGCAAGGAACAGCCTTTTGTGAGCGAGATGTAGGCAAGGAACAGCCTTTTGTGAGCGAGATGTAGTCAAGGAACAGCCTTTTGTGAGCGAGATGTAGTCTAGGAACAGCCTTTTGTGAGCGAGATGTAGTCAAGGAACAGCCTTTTGTGAGCGAGATGTAGTCAAAGAACAGCCTTTTGTGAGCGAGATGTAGTCAAAGAACAGCCTTTTGTGAGCGAGATGTAGTCAAAGAACAGCCTTTTGTGAGCGAGATGTAGTCAAGGAACAGCCTTTTGTGAGCGAGATAGAGTGAATGGAAAGCCTTTTGTGATTGAGTTGTAGATAGCCAAGAAGAAAGGAGTTAAACATCTTGCAGTGTTTCACAAAACTGTCACGTCCAGCGGTTTGTGGCTCCTGCTTGCCCTCCTCTCTCTCTCTCTCTCTCTCTCTCTCTCTCTCTCTCTCTCTCCTCCTGCTCTTTTTCCTCTCGTTCTTCCTCTTCCTTTTGCCGGCCTTTATGGTAGCTCCTCCGATATTTGAAAGTATAACGATCAAATTTTATTACCTGTAAAGGGATTAACAGTTTCTTGAGCGAGGCGAGTGAAAATGTCTCACTCTCACTCTTTATCTTGCCCATTTTACGTATTCTTGCCAAACGTGAGTCTAAGAATCTTAAGCACTGTATAAGAAGCGCCTTATTCTTAAAAACAACCGTTGTCTGTTCTTTTATTGTGTTTCCATTCCATTTAATTTATGATAACATTATAATAATTATAATAATATTATCATTGCAGTATAATGTATAATGAATTATTATTATTATTAAGAATATATTTATATGACAACCAAAACACAGTAATAAGCAAAGAAAATGTCTCGTAATTAAAAATCTGTATCTAAGCAGTAATAAAATTACTTATATAAATCTGAATATAAAACTTATTACCCCAAAAGTTGTAGAGTAACTTGGTATGAGACTAACGTTAACACTAATGCTACTCCGTTATGATCAACACAGTAAAGTATCAAGCAGAACCACGGGTTAAACTGACCATAGTGGGTTAGTACTCGCCTAATACTCACCAATTTGTGCTTGCGGGGGTTGAGCTTTGGCTCTTTGGCTCCGCCTCTCAACTGTCAATCAACTGGTGTACAGGTTCCTGAGCCTACTGGGCTCTATCATATAAACATTTGAAACTGTGTATGGAGTCAGCCTCCACCACATCACTGCCTAATGCATTCCATCCGTTAACTACTCTGACACTGAAAAAGTTCCTTCTAACGTCTCTGTGGCTCATGTGGGTACTCAGTTTCCACCTGTGTCCCCTTGTTCGCGTCCCACCAGTGTTGAATAGTTTATCCTTGTTTACCCGGTCGATTCCTCTGAGGATTTTGTAGGTTGTGATCATGTCTCCCCTTACTCTTCTGTCTTCCAGTGTCGTAAGGTGCATTTCCCGCAGCCTTTCCTCGTAACTCATGCCTCTTAGTTCTGGGACTAGTCTAGTGGCATACCTTTGGATTTTTTCCAGCTTCGTCTTGTGCTTGACGTGTGTGTGTGTGTGTGTGTGTGTGTGTGTGTGTGTGTGTGTGTGTGTGTGTGTGTGTGTGTGTGTGTGTGTGTGTGTGTGTGTGTGTGTGTGTACTCACCTACTTGTGCTTGTAGGGTAGAGCATCTGCTCTTAGCCCCGCCTTTTGACCATCATTAGTTCAATGCCGTGAGTCACTTTCCGTGTTGTTCGGATCATATTTACTTTTAATATTGTGTATCGAGTTGGTCTTGACAGCTTCCACATGTAGTCCCACTTGTTTACCACTCTTAGACTAAAAGGGGGAGTTCTGATGTCTGTGTTTAAAGTTTCCAATTATGTCCTGTCGTTCTGTTGTTGGGGTGATGGTAACGATCATGGTAGGGATGATGATGATGATGGTTAGGGCACGTTCATGGTAGGAGGGAGAGGGAGAGAGAGACGCAGTCCATATGAGCCTGGCACGCATGTATCACCCTTCCTCTGCTTTCCTTTCTCCCAACTTCCATTCTTCCTTGCTTCCTTCCCTCCCTCCCTGCCTCCCTCATCTCCCCTCTGGCAACTTGAGTGTTATAACTATCTTTCTCTTCATTGTTTTCTCCCCTTACTCACTGATTACACTTCATTTCCGCTTTCTTGTTTCCCATCTTACATTTCCTCTTCGTTCTTTCCTCTCCTCGCCTTACTTTTGATCTCACTTCTTACCATTCTCTCACACATCTGACATCGCTCTTATCTCTTCTCCTCCTCCCCCTCCTTCCCCTCTTCCGTCAAGACCACACTTGAAGCCTATCTTCTTTCCTTGTCCTTCTTTCTGCCCTTCTCTACATCTTCAGTCCAAATTTCTCTCTTTTAATCATCTCTCATTCTTTGTCCTATATTTTACCTCTTCCATCTTCCTTTTCCATTCTCCACTCATTACAATCTGATTTTCGGAGCTCTTTCCCATTTCGTCACACTTCTTTGCGGCTTCTCTCCTACATTCTCTCTTTCTCTTTTTCCCTTCCCTAGTTCTGTTTCAGCCCCTCTTCCACAAGTCCCACCTCGCCTATCGCCAATCTTCCCTTACAATTATCTACCCTCTCTTCCATCTCCCCCTCTCTATTTCCCTCTCTCCCATCTCCCCCTCCTTCGTTAAATCCCGGCCACTTTTGACACTCTGCGTTTGTCTCGTTTGTCGGTGATTGTTGTCTTGTCACATTCTGTCTGAGCCTCCTCCTCCTGCTCCTGCTCCTCCTGCTCCTGCTCCTGCTCCTCCTCCTGCTCCTCCTCCTCCGCCTGCTGCTGCTCCTCCTGCTCCTCCTCTTGCTCCTTGTCCTGCTCCTGCTACTCCTCCTGCTCCTCCTCCTCCTGCTCTTCCTTCTCCTCCTGCTCTTCCTGCTCCTGCTCCTGCTCCTCCTCCTTCGCCTCTTCCTCCTCCTGCTCCTCCTCCTTCTCCTCCTGCTCCACCTCCTCCTCCTGCTCCTCCTCCTCCTGCTCCTCCTCCTCCTGCTCCTCCTCCTCCTGCTCCTCCTCCTCCTGCTCCTCCTGCTCCACCTCCTCCTGCTCCTCCTCCTCCTGCTCCTCCTCCGCCTACTTCTTGTCCTGCTTTCTCTTCCTCCTTCGGTCCGTTGCGTCTTTTCTG